CGTATTTCGTGAACGTGTGTGTAAAAACGTGACTTTAATCCTTAGGTATGAGGGGACCATGGAGAGTAAGATTTTTTTTTTTTTTTTTTTTTGGTGGGGGGGGGGGGGAGGTGAAGGTTTTGTTCGATTCTCGTATTTCATGAACGTGACTTGTTGTTTCTGGGTTGTTTTGCCCTACTTTTAGACATTTATGGCTTGTTTTAGGTGGTTTTAGATTGTTTGTGAGGTGTTCGTAGGTGGTTTTAGGTGTTCGTAGGCGTTTTTAGGTGGTCGTAGGTGGTTTTAGGTGGTCGTAGGTGGTTTTAGGTGGTTTTAGGTGGTTTTAGGTCATTCCATGTTTTAGTGCGTACGACAAGTAAAGAGACGGTTGCTTACCTCATGTGTCAGTTTGTTTTCCAAACCCTCGACTTTATCCAAGACTTTTACCAAGAGCACAAGCAAAAAGCATTATTTAGCAGTAAACAGGGGTCTTGAGTACTCGTTTTTCTCYTTTTCTTTATTTTTTAGGGTAGAAAAAATTATGTTCTGCCATCGCTACGAAGTTGGTTTTGAGCGGGACAAGTGATAAAATAAAGCATGATGGGATACTATCAAACACAGGGAGACCAAGCACGAATTTCTCATCGCAAATTTTGTTTTTGAGTTTCTTCCTGTTCATAGCCTTTTGAAATATTCACTGCTATATATATTTTTCAAGACAGTTCTCTAATTTTAACAGGACTTTGTAGCACGCGTTCAAGACAAGCCAAGCCAATGTCAATTGCAGATAATGTGATGAAACTCGAAATATTTGCCGAACTTTTGCCAAAAACAAAAGCAAAGGTAAAGCATTTGTCCCTACTTTCAGCTATGTTTCGGGGAGTTTTGTCCATTGATTCCTTTCCTACTTTTCGCACATCGAGGATCTGTCAGACTTTAGTTTTGATTGGTTAACCAAAGTTAATCACAGATAAAGGGAATGTAATTTTGTGCTTGGGTAAGGAGTCGCGACTTAGGGGAGTGAGCGACGCGTCACGTCTTTTGGTCAAGGGTCGAGGGAAGTTCTTCAAAGGTCGAGAGTACTACTACTTTATGGTACTACGTCGAGGGTCCAGTATTATACGTCGAGGGTTAACTATACTCCCAGAGCAGAGGTCTCCGACGTAACAAACGTTTATGCTCGGGAAAAAAAAGGTTTGATTTTATTACCAAGTTGTCCTTTTAATGTTCTGGGAGTATCGTCAATCCTCGACGTATAATACTGGACACTCGACGTAGTACCCTCGACCCTCAACGAACAACCCTCGACCCTCCACTCTCGAGCTTGTCTTAAATTAAAACTTGAAGAGCCCACAAATGTTTTACTTGATATCAGTAGTTAAGCCTTGGCCTTTATTCACGCAAARAACAAAGTTTATCCTGTGAATCCTACTTGAAAAAAATGTTTTTCAGAAAATACGTCAATTTGACAAGTTAACATACAGTAATATAGAAATCAGACTCTTCGGCAGTGCCGTAGTCCCCCGCTCGGCCATCCTATACTTCTTCCTGCAACCCAACCAGGCTGGTCTTCATCGCTTTCAAAACATGAACACTTATTGCATATTGGCATTTCACAAGAAATACAAACGTATCAAATATAATATATGCATTAGGTTTGGTTCATAAAAAGTTCGTCGTTTGAATCAGAGTAGCTCCAAAGTCGTAATTCCCGACCGCTTCAGTCGATCTTAACTATTGGTTCGATCTCAATGTTATGGTCGAACTTAATTGGTTCAGACGTCGTATTTTTCATGATCTTAATTCTTAGCATTTGGTTCGGCGCTTGAAAAGTATGAAACGGGCCTGACAGTCAAAAGTGATAGCTGATTGACAACAATTTTTTAAAAAATTTTCAAATTAAACTTAATCAAAGGTATCCTTTTATTCTTTTATTTTAAAAACCCTAATTTTACAGCCTTAATAATTTAAGGAAGCATCCACTTTGTATTATTGGATTTGAATTATTATTCAAATCACCGCTCTAGCCGGCAGTGAATAGCTTCTGATCACCTGTAACTCGACCAATCACAGSGCAAGAAATTCTGATCTATATTCAAGTCTAAAATAATATCAATACGACATATTACGATCACWTTGATTGCTTTAAAAGAAGTCCGACAGATTCAAGTTATAACTAATCGATTTTGAGCCATTTTATCCGACGAAACGTGAAAATCGAAGATTTCAGAGAACGGTGAGTTCTTTTTAAGGTTAATGTCAAATTTCTTGGCATCAATTTTTACCGAAAGATTTTTTTTGCAACGATGAACTCTTTTAAGGGGAAAAACTTSCTATGATAACAAGAACTATTGTGAACAATTTTATTCTGAACGAGATTTTGTCTCGTTACTGACAACTAATTTTTAAGCTATTTTGGTTCAATATTTTAGATATTTATGTTTACAAAACTTTATTTAGAAGCCAGATTTCTAGCTTTGTATTTTGCGAGTTTTAGTCAACTTTRAAAGAATTATGAGAAAAAAGTTACGGTCGGATGGTCTTGAAAACTGGCACTGACAAACCTTACTCAATTCAACAAAAAAATAAAGCGTTTCAGGATTTATTTCGATTGTCGACAACTTGGTTTCCAATTTATTATGTCAACCTTAAACTTTCTCGTTAAATATTCACGCTTCGGACTTATATTCTAGTAACTTCTAAGCTAATTTAAAATTTWAAATCCCTGACACACTTTGCACCTGACATTAACTCAGGTTTTCCTCACCCGTTGCGAACAAGATTTTTTATTTAAAATAAATTCACAAAGATATTTCGACACAAAGACATTTCGAGATTTGTGGCGACAAGTTTCGACCCCATCAGGCATCATTTTCAAGAGTGAAGAGATCAATTGAGTTACAAGTACTTATAATAATGTCAGAGAATAAATTCAACTAAAGTCCTGCGGGAAAACGCTAGCTTTGAGTGCATCTGATGGTACGTTTAACAATGGCTTCAGTTCTTTGATGAAGACCATTGATGGCATTGGGATCGCACTGAAAAATTCCTTCAAGACCGTACCTTACATTCCCCAAGGACTTTTATATTGACAATCCTATTACATGTTGCTCAAGAATTAACATTTTTGGTTTTAATAGTCAAAACTGAAAACGCCAAAGCGAGAATAAATACGGAAACTCTGAACCCACCCCAAGGTTGTAACAAGCCTTGAGGATCCATAACTCAGCCATTAATCATTTTAAAGCAGTAAGCCGTGTGGGATGGGCTCGGATATCAAATAAGAACATGCGTAATAGGTAAATTACGAGCCTTAGATGAAACGACTATACTGAAGAGTGCCATACAATGAATCGTGGGATTGCACCGATATAAAGTGGATTTGGCGGGAACTTTCGGGTCAAAACACATGCGTTGGCACCCTTTTCCCTTAAGCTCTGGAAGTTTCGCAAGGACCCTGTACTGCTTCATCTCTTCTTTTGACTAAGTAGTTTGTTGTCAAACGAATATGAACTAAGAGAAGGAATCCCCGTGTCCCATCATGTGCACACTTTGATGCTATTTTTATAATCTATATATTCTAAAAATATCATCCAATCATATTATTTATTTGATCGTTTGATTTTTTGCACGCGCATAGTAAGCGCGCTCTACGCTGTTTGCTAACGTTTTCTTGTGCTTTTCTTAGTTCAAGATGACGATGTAGGTTGAAAGCTTTGAAAAATAAATGAAAAAATACTCCAGAAAATTTTAACAAATTGCTACTTCAATTTCCTCGTGTATTTGCCAAGCTTGCGACGTGCACATTTATATTCAGGGCACAGTTGAAATAACCAAAAAAACCCAAAAACGTAAGCAAACAGAGCGAGCAGAAAAGCAAATGGTTTAATAAACAAAAAATAGCATCAAACTGATGGTTACAAGGCTATATAGGGGGGATTCCTTCTCTTAGTTCATTTTCTCTTGAAGCGTTCTTTCCCTATTTTCCTAATTTGCACAAGTTAACTCGATCTCTCCTTTTCAGACTATGATAAACCGTGTGGTTTGGCCTGCAACATTTTTAATCCTCGTGTTGCCATGGCGATACTCACATGCCAGCTGCGGTGAGTCTGAATACACCCAGCCAGGTCACGTGCTTATCAATCACGTGATAGAATCACTCATGGGTACGAGTTTAATGGGTTGTATGCAGCATTGCGATGAAAACGTTTTCTGTTCAAGTATAAACATTTACACAGACAGCAGGTTGTGTGAATTAAACAGTGCCAATCACATTTCCTTTCCTGAGGATCTTGTCCCGGTCAGCCATCATGCAAGCTACATGATTTACTCTCTACACCCAGCATTCGTCTGTAGCAACCATCGCTGTCCTGATCCAGATACTAGGTGTTTTTTATATGGAACCTCCCGTCATTGTCATGGTACGTGCATGAACTTGTATTCACCTCTATTTTCAAATATGAGAAGATTAGGTTTCACAGCCGGTTCATATGCCCAAATTGTCATGTACAAATACATTCAGAAATCTTGGTCTACATGTGACGTCATAGCCGCAGTTTGGTTTACGTTGACAAAAGATTTGGTTTTGGGGTCTTTTCTTACGTCAACCGACATGACGGCCACGTCGTTTCATCATTTTATTTTCATGGGAAGTTATGCATGTCACCAATATCTGTTTATTCATGTCTTATTAGTTTCCAATCTTGAAATTCTTGGCATATTATATCACTTGAGCAATATTAAGAATAGAAAGAAGAAACTGCTCTAAATACAAAAGAATGTGACTGCATCTTCTGTTATATAAAGAGATGACTTCTGTCTTCTTGAGTTATATTTGTCAGGCTTTAGATATATGTACCTTATTGCAAAATCGTTGTTGGGGAGTCAGTTCAAAACCCCAGGGTTGAGGCCATAGAAGTTGAAACCGAATTGGTGCATGGGAAGTACGTTAATTAAATGCATGTAGTGATGCTAAATTGTATATACCCTATATGTACCCTAAAACAGTCCGAAGATGCTCTACATTGCCAACTCCATACAGTTTCTTCCTCAACCTCGGAATGGCCAATTGTAACGGTAAAGCATGGCGGTGCTTGAAGTTGTTTTGAAGTTTTCAGTTAAAGATGCAAAGTATATGACAACGAGTTTGATACGAAATGCGAGCTAAAAATTACCTATATATTTACTACAGTCATTGATCTAAAGACCTTTGCACTTAATTTCAACACAGGTGTTATATCTCTGTACTTTAAAACATTTAAGGAAATATTATCATATGYCATTGGGTCTTGCCTCCTACGTTTTGTCTTGAACTCAAAAATAGTTTTGCAATTGGGTATATAATATTCTCTATTTAAGAAATACTTGTTGAAATAATTGCTTTTGGATTGCTCCATAGTCTGCGTCAATCCATTGGGGATGGAAGATGGTCGCATAACGGACGCGCAAATCACAGCCTCCTCTTTTTTCCGCGAAAACCACGTGCCCGCAAATGGACGCCTAGGCAACACTGTAGGTGCAGGTGCCTGGGCTGCAAAAAAAAATTTAGTTGGGGAGTATTTACAGATAGATCTTGGTAAGGCGATGATCATCATTAAAGTAGCTACCCAAGCAAGACATCGATATCCTTATTTCCAATGGGTGACCAAGTATTATCTGACCTACAGCATGGGTCCTGGTTACTGGCTGCCATACAAATACTACAACCAAGTTAAGGTATTTGAATACAGTTTCTTAGTTAGAAAGATTTGCAATTGTATTCATTAAAGCAAATAGAACTCCTTAGTTTCACTTCCCGTCATATCTGTCTGCGAAATGCACGTCAGCTGAATCGCAAGTTTTCAAGTTCTTTATTTCCTAATGTTCGACCACCATTTCGAAGAGATAATGAGATCCAAAGAATTTATCGTGGCTTAATACAATGTTTTGTTAAAATAGGAACATAATGTAAAGTGTGAGCATTAATACTAAATATTTGCCAGACTTTTGGTTGAAAATCGCAGAAGTAGAATTTTTATTTATTGATATATTTATATATGAGTTTTGCATAATTTTTTTGCAATTCGCTATATATACACATATGAGATAAGCTCATATGAGCAACGGAAAAATGCAGTCAGGTGTGTTAGACAGCAAACTGATATCTCGATTAGGACATTGTCTAAAATATATATGACTCACAAAAACCAACTTCTTTCTTCAAATTTTTTAAAAGGAATTCCAAGGAAATCATAACAGAGATATCGTGGTCACCAACAGCTTACCATTACCATTAAAAACAAGATATATCAGGATCGTTGTTTTGGAATGGAATAATCATATCTCGATGAGAGCTGAACTATATGGATGTTCACCACCATAAGCATCAGACAACATCACGGGAAACCCAATCAATAGATGAATGGCGTGCATGTATGGACCACACCCACTCGATTACACCACAACCATCAGTACTCATGAGATGAACTGTATGGATGGATAGACCACACCCTGTTAACTACACCACAACCATCAGCACTCATGAGATGAACTGTATAGATGGATAGACCACACTCTGTTAACTACACCACAACCATCAGTACTCATGAGATGAACTGTATGGATGGATAGACCACACTCTGTTAACTACACCACAACCATCAGTACTCATGAGGTGAACTGTATGGATGGATGGACCACACCCTGTCAACTACACCACAACCATCAGTACTCATGAGATGAACTTTATGGATGGATAGACCACACCCTGTTAACTACACTACAACCATCAGTACTCATGAGATGAACGGTATGGATGGATAGACCACACTCTGTTAACTACACCACAACCATCAGCACTCATGAGATGAACTGTATGGATGTATAGACCACACCCTATTAACTACACCACAACCATCAGCACTCATGAGATGAACGGTATGGATGGATAGACCACACTCTGTTAACTACACCACAACCATCAGCACTCATGAGATGAACTGTATGGATGGATAGACCACACCCTGTTAACTACACCACAACCATCAGTACTCATGAGATTAACTGTATGGATGGATAGACCACACCCTGTTAACTACACCACAATCATCAGTACTCATGAAATGAACGGTATGGATGGATAGACCACACTCTGTTAACTACACCACAACCATCAGTACTCATGAGATGAACTTTATGGATGGATAGACCACACCCTGTCAACTACACTACAACCATCAGTACTCATGTAATGAACTGTATGGATGCATAGACTACACCCTATTAACTACACCACAACCATCAGCACTCATGAGATGAACTGTATGGATGGATAGACCACACCCTGTTAACTACACTACAACCATCAGTAATCGAGCAGAGATAACCAATATGGTGGTTTGATGTGTATAGTCGTTCTTTAAAGCATACATAACACTCTATAAAACGCCAAATCATGTGCGCCCAACAAGGTATTTATTGGAATTAGTAATCTACACTAATAATCTAAAACTTGCCTGACATTGATACAGAAGGTTTTGAGCGATAACCGTTGCATCGCGACCAGCGCCGTTTCAAAAATTCGTTTGAATTTTAGTCTATTCTGAAACAATTCTTAACTGAAAATAACTTCCCTTCGCAAATCCTTGGAATATTCTTGAGTCATTTTAGATTTTAAAAAATATCATTGTTATGACCGAAGCTGAGCGAGCGTGTTCAAAGACTTATTTGCATAAGCCCAAGATGATTGACGGTTCCAGAAAAGACCAAAACCAAATTGAAGTTTTGAAACAATGGGTCGCGATGCAAAAGTATCGCTGTAAACCGGTTTGCTTTTTTATTATTGGTGCAATGTAGGAATTTTTCAAAGAGGGTCATTCTCCATTTATCCAAATAAATCGCCCCTTCCCTCACAAAACTCTCCTTGGACCCTCCGAGTGCATCACTGAAATCAGTTATCAATGGACCACTTCCACTTGGGCGTAATATTTTGCCCATTTCAGACCACGTGTCATTCCCTTGAGAATAATATTCTTAGTCTGAGTTGTATCTATATTCAAGTGTCTTCTAATGTGCAGTCGTTAAGGTTGGTGCCTACTAATTGCGAACCATTTTTATTCTTTTCAAATTGTGCCAGTTATATAAATCACCCAAGAGGCCACTGGAATTCGAAAAAAAATTTGGGGGTACCCACGCATCTAAGCGAGACAATTGATGTTAAACACCTATGACGTAAGCACTTTTTTACGCAAGGGGAAAAAATCATATTACGAAGTTGTTTTGATCGATTTTATCTGAAACTTGTTTCAAATAAACGACTATTTGTGCTCTTTATATCAAATATATAAACTTTTATGTATCATATAAGAAACTTTTTTTATTTATTTT